AAAAAAATATTTAAAAAATAATAAAATAAAATAAAATATGGATTAATAACAATAATAAAATAAATAAATAAAGATATATACAAAACAAAAGAATGAAAAAATAAAAAAAAATTAAAAAGATGAGAGAGAATATGGACGTTCCACATTTATTCCTCTCCTGTTAAATATTATAATGATGTTCAATGTGCTAATGCAATTTTATTTTTATTGTAATTATAAATGTGTATCGTATTTTTCAATACGATATTATAGATTGTGTAAACGTATATTTCGTTCATGTTTTGGGTCGGGTGTGTGTCATGTCTTTGTGTTCTTCTGTTTCAGGATTGATTTAATTTTATTTGTATGTCATGTCACTAATCGTTACGTTCCCTTTCAGGTACCTAGATCATAGCATTTCCTTATATCCTAAACTTTCCTTATTTTCTTCCTCCCGGGTGTGCGGTCGCGCGTTTGCTCTCATTTGCTGTGAATGAGAGCAGCGGCTTCCACGTGGCCGCATCCCCAGGTGCAAAAGGTATATCATCTTCTCTCGAAGATGATAACCAGGTATCAATTCAAGCGCAAAACATAGCCTCTGAATTGATTCAAGACCGTTTCGCATATAACCTTCACGAGGTTGCACCTGTTTCATACAGAATATGCTACGGATCTCGTTTTGATCCACTAGATTTACCATACGCTGTTTTATTTATGGGATCAAAATTAAATTCTCTATTAAAAATCCTTCCAATTAATTATTTTTATTTTCTTAATATCCGTTCTGCTGTGAGCAGGGGTTTACGATTTCTAGGTGGTTGCATCGCAGAGGCCTAATGTCATCTGGAGCTCGCATTTACTGCTACAAATGTAAATAATTATATTTTATTTAACTCACTATTTGCATATTTTAACTACAATATTTTAAATTAACGTTTTTTTTTTGTTGTTGTTATATATTAATCAAATCGTATTCTTTTTTCCAGACGTGCTGCTCGATCCACGGAACGTATTTGATGACATTCGTATAGATTGCCGGCGATTTGGCGTAGCCGCAGAACTTTCCGAAAGATATTACGCCCAGAATTGCGTGAACGCAATAGGGTTTCTCGAGAGGAATTTGCAGAGGTCCGCCAGAGTCGCCCTGACATGCGTCTTTCCCTCCGGTCAAAATGCCAGCGCAGATCATGTTCTCGGTTAGACCCTCTTTCAGCGTCGAGCGTCGAAAGTTCTTGTAGTACTTTTCGCATTCCTCGTTCGCCAACAGCGGAAGTTCCACTTGCATCAGCTTCTCGCTGCCGCCACTATTTGCTAAACGGGTACAAACATTATTAATTCATTAATATAATAATAATAATTAATTAAATATGTTATTTTAAGCTCACTGAACACCGTTTTCCCGAAGCCTGCTGCTGTCGGATGGATGTTTTCATCGTACGGCAGAGATGAGCTGAAGTACAAGCAAGCAGGTAGAACGTGTTCTGTGAAGATCACGCGATCTTTCAGCCTGAACAAGGTAATGTCGTGGTACTTGGAGTTGGTTTTGTACTCGGGATAGATAATAGTTTCTTCGATTTCGCGGACCTGCAGATTTGGGCCATCGTAGTCTCGGGAAATCGTTCCCAACTTTACGGCGCACGCTTTTCCGCTGAAAACATAATTTTCCTTGATTTCACATCTTTCGTTATAATAGTTACAGTTAAATACTAACTTTTCTTTGCTTTCAACGCAGTGTGCCGCAGATAAAACAAAGTATTCGCTAATCAGTGTACCGCCACATTCCCAAATCGGTTCCGAAATTCCGTTTCCAAAACCAATCAAAGCCTTAATAATTAAAATCCGATGTTCTATCAAAAATGGTTTACTAATTATATATAGTACGAACCACGTGCGGGTATTCCCTTTCGTTAACTTCGCTTCCTCCAACTATAAGCGGCATAGGAGTTGTGGAGCAAGTGGAGAAGCCCAAAGAGTGAGCTATCAAACTATATTCGAAGCATTCTGCAATATACGAATATCTATCTATATACATTTTACTATAATTTAAATTAATATTCTCACTTGATTTAGATATGGTGTTGTTGTTGTTGTCGTATTTGCATTGGGCACCGCAAAGGATCAACAGCACCAGCCCTAAAGCGCGGATCATCTTCAACCGAATGTCTCTCAAAGTTTGCCAATTTCCTCATATAAATACCATCTAAATTGTTTAAATCTTTTTGTTTCATATTGTTCTGCATGAGACATTAACTATTCTTATATTCAACACTTTAATTATACAACGAAGGTATAACGAATTGCACGTTTCTTCTCAGCTCATTTTGTTCTGCATTAAAAGAAATTGGCAACGGTTATTATATAGTATTTTATTATTATTTTTTTAAAATCATTGTTCGATTCTCAACTAATTTAAGCGTTTTATTTTCATTTCATGTGCGTGCAATTCCAAAAGAGATTCAACTACGAGCAGAATGGGTTGCCTAGTCCACATTGGATGGATGATGTTGGATGAGCAGGTTTTTTTCCAGAAATAGGTAAGAGTTTCAATATAAATCTATACGTCTAATTTTATTTTACTATCTACAATGTTTTTTTTAGGAGTATGCTCTTTGCATAGTGCTGATCAACCGTAGTAACGGTTGCCGCGGTTCGTCCTTCTGGATTCGCACTGTGTGCCGCTGATTGCGTTTGCGACGCTGCTGAACCAGACGCGGAAATTGGTCTCGTCGTAATTGAGTTTGCTGTATAGGAAGATAGGCATGTTGTTGGTTAGCAGGATCAGGTCGTCGCCGTAAACTTTCAGATCGCAAGGGTAGATCATCTTCTTGTCGTCCCTTTGGATCACGTGGAAATTCTCCTTGCCGAATGGGATATTCGTGTTCCAGCAGCCCAACGCGTTCTGATTCACCAAACTCAAGAACAAGACGCCCGAAGGTTTGTGCAGATCCGTTGCGGATGTCTGAGATAGAGGACCGCGGTCACCCAAGTTCTGCAAAAAGGTCAGTATAATATTGTGCGTACAGTTGTTGGTTTATCACATTTATTCACTTACAGTGAAATCGTTTCCATGATAGGACCTGGTGGCCAATGCCTCGTCTCGCAAGATCCTCGTGGAGACCACGTACAGATGCGTACCGGCCATCGAGTGGAAATACATGTCTCTGAAGCCGTCGCTTTTAATTTCCGAGAGCGCCACGCTGAAGACGCCGTCGTTCCATTGGAAGTGCTGACCGCCTACGTTGAACTCTCCTGCCAGAGATTCCAAGAAGAAGTAGTTATGGGTCACTCGCCAAGAGCGGTCAGCCTTCAAGCTGTACACGATGAGGCCGTAACCGGCCAGATCCGGGAGGTAAGCGTAAGCGTCGTCGCAGGTGTCCTTAGTTACGTCGACGGTGACGAGTGCCAGGATAGAGGCTGGTTTGAGGACGGACGCAGGAAGCGGATGTCGTTTGATGATCTTGTCCGTCTTCAGGTCGATGATCACCACCGACTGCTGCTGGATGTCCGTCCTGTTTCCAGGCAGCTCGACGATGCCCGTATCCACCATCCACATGCGATCGCACACGTCTACGGCGATTCTGTAGACGGACACGATGCGATTGCTGGGATCGGAGCTCAGCTGATTCACCTCCCAATTCGGGTATGGGATCAGAGGCACGTTATGCCTTTCCTTATTGCTGATTGAAACATAGTTCAAAGTGGACGGCACTCCAGCCCGTCGCCTCGGTACAGTTATAAACAACTTGTCCCTCCATCTGTTTGCGCCCATCGGTATATTATTCTCTGAAACAACAAACTTATTACAAATCGATCGGAAATAGTAATTGCAAATTTACATTTGCGGATTCACCTAATTAAACAACTGCTAATTAATGGATTTGAAAGGAAAATGCACGGAAAACAACATGCGTTTGCCTTTTTCCATTTTCCGATTGTTTAACATCTGCATTCGCTTAAATCCGAAGGCCGCGAAAGACTCATTTGCACTTGATTGCATATTTTTATATTTGCAATTACTTCCGGTTTTACAGTATTTCGTTCTTGTTTATAAGCAAAGTATATAATTATTGTTTCAGATATGAAATACAATAATGACTACATCAAAACAATAACGTGAGATTACTTAAAGTTAGTTTTGCCTAATAATATATAATTTTTTTGCTCACCGTAGATGAAGTCGACGTTTCCATCTGGCTGTTTGTTGTCGTCCGTTGGCGTGGAGATGGGTTTTGAGGAACCGGAGCTTGCCGCGCCGGGGAAGGCGAAATCGCTACCACCGTAGATGTAGTTGGGTCTGTATCCGCCGAAGCGACCTTTCAAAGCCCAGGCGTAGTCCAACCTCGTCCACGTGAACTCCTCGGTGAGCTGTCCAGCTTGCACCAGGTGGTCGTGCTCGACTATGACAAAGAGGACCGCTCCGAAGAGCAGCAACGTGATCGTAGCAGAACGTCCTCTCGATTCCAACATCTTGATCTTTGTTGCGAGATCCCTGCTGTATCCGTCGTTTATATCGGAAAATAATGCAATTTAAAAAGGTATGAAGGAAAACCCGAAAATTTTCAGCATCGATCGTCGATCTTCGGGTTCGCTCCACCCTTCTTTTCCTCTCCTCGAATAACTTACGAGTTCTGAGTAAACTGGTTTCGCGCACTATCTTGTTTACTTCTTTAACTCGCACATCGTCCAGCGGCCTCAGTCAATGCCAGATAATTATGATAATTAATCTGCTTAAATTTCATCGTACAACGTACGAACAACTCTACTATTTTTAATTATCAAATTTTAATGCGACCAATCCGCAAATCAGAAACGTAGCAATTTGCAGCAATTGTTTATTTTTGTTAGAGTTGCATCACCATGACCACCAGAGTGGGGAAAAGAGGTGGCAGTAATTTAGCACTTTTCATTATGACTAGATTATTGTATTATTGCTTAACTAGAAAGAGGGAGAGAGAAAGATAGAGAGAGCGAACGAGAAAAGGTTGCTCAGACAGGCAGAAACATTCATTGCATTGCAGCAGTAGCCACGATGAAGTTGACCGTAACGTTCCTCATAGGTGAGTCGTGTTAACCTTTGCTCGATTTGCATTAGAATCGCATTCGGACGCAACATAAAAGAAACATTAGCGCGACAACAAATACAAAATACGAATAAAAGAAGCGCTCGGTTGTTACTTAGAAAGGTATGAATAATTGAAGAACGACGTGCAAATCGCGTTTTAATTGCTCATTGTTCACGGCAAAGATTGTCATTAACTTTGTAAATTTAAAATGTAGATGTCTTCTGCGAATGAGATCTCGCTAATTCGGGTAAACAAATATCACAGGCGCACGTATTTCTTGTATTAAGCGAAAAGAAAGAAAGTTTTATCTGTTATTTATTGTCGACGAATTTCAATATTATCTTCAAAATAATCTTTTCTAGTGAAAACACAAATACTTTACTGCTTTTGATTTGAATTCTGAGAGAGGTGTACTAGGTTTATTGGCCTAGTTACCAAGGTAACGAAATACGTCCTTGTTTATAATCTGAAATGTATGAGCGTAAGGGCGTATAATCAAATTAGTCCACAGTCCGAAGAATTTTATATTCTAAATTTAATGATATCGCGTTTATCGTTTATTTAATTATATCATGAATTTTTTTGTTTATATTTGTTTGTTTTGAATTTAAGATTTCACATAGTTCACGTTATTATATCGGGCTATCATTTACGTAACACAACGAAAAACATGTGGTCATACATATTTCTGTTATTTATAATGATTTAACATTGAATCAAAATATTTTTTGCGTACCGTAAAATTTACAAGGTGACGAACACAAGTCGTTATTTTATTTGCCGAATACGGATAAACGAGTTTCACTCTTGTTGTTGGTCATTTCGTTAACGTGCGCGATTCTCCGAATATCTCGTAACATTGAACGTATTATTAGAACAGGGTTTCCCAAACTCGGGTCGTAAAACCTGCGGATTCAATAATTTAATAATTTGTTTTTTTTTTTATAAAATTGCCTTTTATTTTGTTGCTGAAAGTCTGTAACACTTTGGTGTTTTGTTTTTGCAACGGATGTGAGAGATATGCATAAATAATGAACGGATAATTAAAATTAATCGCCTCCGGCGACGTCTTAATCTGCTTGCGGAAATTTTTGTTAGTAATTTTATAAATAATTAACTTCAGGATTCACGTGTCTCTCAGATAATTGCTGCAAAAACAAAATATCAATTCGTGTCAATGACTTTTCGATTTTGTTAGCTACAGCAAAAATCAAACAAACGTACAAAAATGCGATGTTGACATTAAATGAATGCAGGAAGCAAGTGTAGGCGAGCGCGAATTTGATTTGTAAAATTGAATTATAGAAGATTAAACAGGATGTGCGTCGGAGGTCGGTCATTGTTTAATCCTGGTTAACCGTCAATTTGCGGTCCAGGAAGCAGAGATGCTGCGATCTCTCGCTCTCATTATTCAATTGAAAAAGAGAATTCGCACTAATCCCAAATTGACACAAATTTCTTTGTTAACACAATTAATTAATTTATTTTTTTATCATCATTGTTTATTTTGTTTTTCAGTTGTTTTGGTGGCTTTCGCAGCGGCCTCTCCGGCCAAGGGTTCCACCAAACCCTCCCTGAAGAAGAAGAACGAGTGCATGAAGCAATGCACCGACGATTACACCCCGATCTGCGCCGGCGACGGAACCGGAAAGGATAACAAATCCTTTGGAAACGAGTGCGTTCTCGGCAACTTCAATTGCGAGAACAAAAAGGGTGAGAATAATCAACTTTATCCTAATATTTCGACAAACTTGTTTCTTCTCTCTATCAAAATTAATCAGAATTTGTTTATTTCATAACTTCAATCAATCGAATGAATGAATTTAAATAGTATTAAACTAAACAGCAAAATCTATTGAACATTTGGTTGCCTATTGTAAAATTTTCATTATGTATTTTGTTTCACAACAATTACTCAAAGTTATTTTTTTTTAGATTTGAAAATTATCCAAAAGGGAGAATGTCCCGGAGGCGGCGGCGTCAGGCTTTCTTAAATCTCTCGATAGATGAGATGACACCAACACACGTCCACCTCCACAGCCACCAACAACAACAATAATTATATAACATCAACCGCATAATTAGGGGAGGAAATATGATGCTCTCTCTTTTCCAATATTCGACATACACCTATTATTATTATTTTTTTTAGTCTCTTAGAAGTTTTTATTATACACAATGTTACCTACATAATACTTTTTAGTGGCACCTTTGTACGCGGAAAAGAACAAATATAATAAACAAACAATACGAAAACGCAAACCGTCAGACGGTCGCCTTCTCTGTCTGATTGACTGCCGCCTCCTGGATCTCCTCGCATGGTCCTTTCCTGATTATCTCGTAATCTGTAATACGAACAACAAATAATTCATATTGATTTTCAATCATGTATTTACAAATATACTTTTTTCGGGAAATTTGCATCGTGCGACGCTCAGCTGGCAATCGCTTTCGAACTGTTTGGTCTTGTTTTCGGCGTCGATGGTGCACAAAGGTTTGAAGTGGAGGCCACACCCGAAATCGCAAAGAGCCTCGGTTTCCCTACTATTCGCGATCAGAACAATCGCTTCATTGTTTATAATTACAATTATGCATCATCGTGTCAATAGAAAAAGAAATAATAATTATATCATCGACTTACCAAAGATTGCCAGAATTGCAGTTGCTTTCAACATTTTCTTCGCTTCGACTGTAATGAAAAGGATGTGATGTTTTCTGGCTCTTGTGGCCGCATCTTATAAGCATTCGGGCTGTTTGTTCTGATCATTATGAGGTGGACGTAAAAAACGCCCGTGTTGTTCTAAAATTACGTCCGCCAATTTGCCGAAGATATCGAATCTATTTGCGAGCGGCTCTTGAAAAATCATAAAAATACACAAGGAAGAGCATTAATAATACATACATATAAAGCACTTGATTCAAGATTTAAGATGAACACTTGGCTGTCTCTGTCGTTGTTATTTTAGAAAAAATGGAAAGTTTTCGTTATGCAAAGAATCAAAGGCGACTCTATTGTAACACGTTTTCTTGTTTCAGAGATTGTTTGACGTTGACGTTGTTGCATTTTGTTGAGATGAAGTGGAAGAAGCGTAAACCGAAGAAATATAAAGCTTTCGATCCCGAAAAGGATTACATCGAGGACATGGACTGTCCGTCGAGGTTCATCATTTGGCTGATGTTCCCGTTCGATCCGATCTGGTGTTACGTGTCGGTGTCGATGATTACATTGGAAACGTTTGTGCTCGCCATCCTCGAGATACGCAACTACCAAGTTGTCAGCCGCTTCATGTACAGCGCTGGACGTAAGCAATTTTATTCCTATAAGGATGCACTTAACATCTGCTATGTTTTTGCATTTTCCAGTTTGGATGCTCTATTTTAATTACATCTACATTCTGGAGTGCGCGTGCACGCTGATCGTGCAGCTGATGCGGATGGACTCCATCGCCAACAATCTGGTGATGAGGCCCAACTTGATGGTCATCCTGGAGATTGTCGTCTCCATACCGTACGTGTTCATCTTTCCGAGCTACGTCGGATTTATCCCCATCAGCTTGAACTTTATCCGTTCCGCAAAGATGATTCGCGTGATCTACTTCATGCACCGCATGCGATGCAACTGGTACATCAACTTGTGGCATCGTCTGCTCGAGCTGCTGATGATCGTGATCATCTCGCTCTCGTACATCGCTGTTCTGCTGAAGTGCATCTATTGCATACGACACAAATGCGAATACACCATGGAGTTTTCGAATTCGATATATGAAATTGCGGCGCGGAGGTCGCTCAGCCGGTGGGAGATGGAGCATAACAACTTCGAAGAGTTCGAAATACCGTACTTTCCGTTCGAGCTATTCGCATTGGCCATCCTGCTGTACCTCACCTTCATTACCATGAAGCTTATGTCCTCGTACATGATCATATCATCGATATGCGAGTATTACTACAAATTCGAGTACGTCGAGAAGGTCAACTTCTTTAAGAATTATTTCTCCGGTCACCTCGGGTTGAGCGCGAAGACCAGAGATACAGTGATGAAGTACTACGAGAATCTGTGGATCTTTCGCGAAGGTTACAACTCGGACTTCATTGTTAAGGTGCACGATCAGTTCACGTGCAACCTCATCATCGAGATCTGCATGGACTACAGCTGGACGGCATTCCAGCATTCGCTGCTCTTCAGGAACACGGATCTACAGGTGCTGAGATTGATCGCTTCGGTGACGAAAAATTCGATTCACATGCAGGGCGAGTTCGTGTACAAGAAGGACGAGCTCAAGGAGCAGATGGTGTACATTTCGAAGGGAGTCATCGAGATTTTATCCAGCGAGAACGGTGAGTCCGGTGTGCTCGCACTCACATCAGGTACGTGCGTGGGCGAGGCGAGTTTGCTGTTTCCCTACATCTCGGACGTCGATTTCCGTTGCAAGACGACAACTGAACTCTTCACCTTGCATCGAAACGATTTCGTGATATTGTGCCGGCATCATCCGGCAGTCTACAGGGATTTCCTGCAGCAAATTCTGAAAAGGTAATTTTCATGCAGGACTACACGCACAGACAGAACACATGATGTTGTCTTTATTTTTATGCAGATATAAGGATGCCAAAAAGTTCATCGACGTGAAGCGAAACCACCCGAAGGGCTTAACGAATCTCCTTCAATTGAAGAACAATCTGCACCGTTTGAGCTCCAAGAATAAGGATCTGTACAGCATGCACGCTCCGGAGAACATCTACCTGGCGAATGAGTTGAATTACAAGTGTGAAATGTATCCTTTCAACACCATGCGCTACTTGGAGTTGCTATCAATTAAGGAGAGAATCCACTTTGACACTGACATCGTGTTCATCAAGTCGACGGGCATGTGGATACTGAAACCGAATTCGCCTGTACTTGCTGCCTGGGAGTACATTGTTCTGGTCTTCTGCTTGATCGTCGCCCTATGGATTCCGTACATGTGCAGCATGAAGAAACGCTTCATCTCTAACGAATTCATTATATTATTCAACATTCTCTGGTGGATCGACTTCATCATACTGTCGGTGACGCCCGTCAACAGCGAATCTAGAGCGACGACCATGGTGACGATCATGTCGGAGCGCATCAAGCACATTTCGTTTGCGTGCGACATCATCGCGGTGGTGCCCTCGTTCATGCTCACCTCTCTGTTACCGCATAAGCTGGTCGAGTTCAACAGAACCTGGCTGTACATGAACAAGGTGTTGAAGGTCTACAGGATATTCAAGTTCTTAAACGATTGGGAGCGCCAGTTCAACGTGAACATTCTTTTACATACAGCACTCAAGTACGGTTTCCTTTACATAATGTTGATATACTATACGTCTTGCGTGATGGTCGCTTTCGGCAATTCCGAAGGCCTCTTCACGACGATCGCGGTGCAGATGGCCTCTGGCGTCGGCTATCTTTACAGCGATGTCCTGTACATACCGTACACGATCGTACTGGATTACATTTCGTATTTCCTCGAGTTTGCCGCAACCAACGCCATAATTGCAGCCGTCTATCTGCGCTACAATAATCGAAAGAAAATCCAGACGTTCTTTGCGCGAGTTTTCCATTGCACCCATCAGCGTACCGATAAAAAGTATCTGCTACGCAGACTGAATCTTTGTATAGAGACACACCTGAACGATAACGATGGTCTTATGCTGATGGTTTCAATGCCAAAGTTCCTCGGCTTGTCGCCCTTTTTCATGAACATGGTGCAGACCGAAGGATTCGTGGATATACTTTCATCGGTGGAGATGATCAGCTTCATGCCGAAGGGTCTGATCGCTAAGCTCTCGGTGATCTGCCACAAGGTGATTTACCATAGGCAATGCGTGCTGATAAGTCGCGGTGTTATCTACGATCAAGTGTTTATACTGTACAAAGGGGTTGCAAAGAAGGTGGTTGGCAAACAGGTGTACGACACTGAGATGCTGACGATGTTGAATTTGCTGGAAATCTGCTACGGTCTGCCATCAGCAATGACGGTCATATGTTTGACGGAGGTGGTGTGTCTGTACTTCAAGTATTCGGATTTCGAGAGGCTGCTCACGGAATTCCCGGAGACGAACGAGTTGTTCAAGAGCAATTTGAGGGCGAACGAGGGGATACGCGAGTTGCTGATGCGAATCGGAAGGGCGAAGAGTCAATCGAAATTGATTGTAAAGGATTACGACTATTTCCAATTTTGGAAGTTCAAGAAAGGCAAGACGGCGACTATCTATGAGAATCACGATTACCATGGGCCCTTCAATAAGCTCGGAATGTTCGCGTTCGTCAGGTTCGTGCTGATGCGCAAAACCGTACACCCGGAGAGCAAGTTTCTGGTTTACTGGGAACGATTCAGATTCTCGTTTGCCATCTTGAGCTCCATCCTCTTCCTCATACCTTTCTTCAATTCGAACTCTTCGAGCCCGAATGTGCTGCTCTTCCTGTTGCTCGATCTGACCGCCTACGCCGACGTCTACTTTCGGATGCACGTCTGCTATTACAACGAAATCGGGATACTCGTGAAGCATCCGCTGGAGACTGCTCGACACTACTTGAAGCACGGTTTCTTCGTTGATCTGCTCGGCGTTATTCCCATCAACTACATCATAGCGGACGACGATATTGCCGTGACCTTTGCAATGAGCTGCTTGAGGCTGATTCAGGTGCATCGCTTCTACAGTTACAAGGCGAGCTTCATGTGGCCCTCTGTTCCGCTGCAGCTGGCCGTAAATTTCATCACTGTGGTGATATTCATCAATTTCTGTTCGTCCGTGATCGTGGTCAACGATTGCGACAACTCTTACAAGAACGGCACCGAATGGGTCGTCCTCTGCAAAACACTTAACATGGAATACTTTGACATCTTCTCCTATTACTTTTACGTCGTCTCGAGCACTGTGACGACCGTCTCCATGGACACGTACATATCGTTCGAGCACAGCTACTTTCTCATCACGTTCCTCGCCTATTTGAGTTCGGTTTCGGTGATCATCAAGATCTACATCGTGAGCAACATCTTCAGCTCGTTCTGCTCGAACGACGTGCGGCTTCCCATCAGTCGTAAGAGCACGGCGTCGCTGCTGCACTTTATGCGAAAGCGAAAGGTCAGTTTGTACCTGAGGCGCGAGATCAAGAAGTATTTCGACACCTCGTGGATGGTCATAGGTGACGGCAATCCGTTCGAGCTGTACGCGAATCTGAACACGTCGCTGAAACGCGACCTTCTCTTCGAGTTCTACGGCCCCAAATTGACCGGTCATTCCCTCCTCAGCGACAACAAGTTGCTGCTAGAGGATTTCTTCAAGAATTGCCTCATCGAGATGAACATGATGACGTTCAACAAGGACGGCTACATCCTGACCATCAACGATATCCAAGGAAAGATTTTCTTCTTGCACACTGGATACGTGGACGTCGTCGCGGCCGACGGCACCGTCCTCGACACCCTCGGCGAATCGTCGATCTTTGGCAATATGGAGAACGTTACATTATTTAGGCAAAAGGTGCAACTCTATAATTATAATAGTTGTTATTATTATTTTTATTAATATTATGGTCGTGTATTTTGCAGGTGACGGTGGTGACGAACACGACGGTGCTGGTGTTCTTCATGAAAACCAAGACGTTCTACATGCTGATCAATTATTTTCCGCACATCAAGAAGACCTTTCTGCGTCTGATGCAGTACAAGCAGTATTACATCGAGAGTTCAGCGCCGAAGATGATACGAAAAATGGTGAACTTGCGCCACTACAATAAGGCGATGGTCAGGTACAGACTGTTCAGGAAGTTCTCATTGTTGCACGCTCTGCTGCCGTGCTACGTCGGTGTAATGATGGAACTGTACCAGATGGCCGTGTGCGAGATCAGCGGCAATTTTCTCGCCCTCCAATTTTCTCTGGACGTTATGCATACTGTCCATTCGGTCTGCAAGTTCTTCGTGGGTTATCTGGATGACAACTGGGAGCTCATCACCGAGCGAAAACTGGTGAAGAAGCCGCACATGAAGAAGACCGAGATGGCAATCACAGTGATCAGCTGTTTACCTCTGGACTATTTTATGTTGATGGTTTTCAACATAAATGGCGTCAAGGAGCAGTGCTTCTTCTTCAATCTGCTGCGAATAAACCGAGTGCTGAGAATCTATTACTTGATTCGATATTTCTCGGATCACCTCTTCAAATACACCCTGACCAACGGATACACCGTGTGGAAGCGATGCTGCGTGTTCGTGCTGGAGATAACTATGTACGTGACAACGTGCGCCACTTTCCTGATAATGAGCGAGCGCATCTTTTGGTACATCACCAAGAAGAAGTCGTTCTCGGTGCACTATTACAAGGTGCGACTGTGGATGAGTCGCATCTATCGCGCACCCTCCTCCATCAAATTCGACATCTACTTCAAGTACTGCTACTTTGTCATGATGTTTCTGACCTTCAAATCGGACAGGAACTATTACATCTCGTCGACGATGATCATGTCCTTGTACATGATCGTCGTCCTCGCCTCCTACATCTGCAGCATACTAATGTTCGCGCAACTCTTCGAGATCATCGTGGAGTGTCTCAGTCCGCACGTCCACTACGGTCACATCATCAACTTCATCATGCACTATCTTCGGTCACACGCGTCGCCCATCATCAAGCTGAAGCTCTCCAGCCAGATGCAAAACTCTTGGTTTCACATGCAATCGCATTCGCTGAAAGCACTGAACCTCGCCCCGTCCTACCTGAAGCAGTCCGTAATGTACAGCATCTACGGCCACCTCTTCACCAACCACATCATCTTCGGCCGATCGCATCCGGATTTCGTCCGCCAGGTGCTGGTGCACGCGAAACAGGTGTTTTACCTCTGCGACGATATCATCACGTACAAGGACGTGGACAGGGAATGCATGTACTTTATAGTGAGTGGAAAGGTGGCGGTGCTCGAGGACGAGATTCACTGTTTTCAGGCAGCTCACGAGGTCCTCAATGCCGGCGATTCGTTCGGCATCATCGAGGGTATTTTCCCCAAGCATCCATACAAGTACACCTACAAGACGGTCGGCAATTGCGAGATACTCGAGCTCTTGCTCAAAGATTGGAAATACCTTTTGGACTTTTTCCCCGCCACCAAAGAGCACATACTCGACGTGCACACGAACATGAATCTCTACTAAGGTAAGACATCATCAACATATATTCATGTAATTGATTCATGTAAATTTCAGATGCGGGGATTGTACGTGCAGAGAGCCTCGTGTACAGAGAGCTCCCTTTATCCAGAGCATTTTCCATTAAGAAGTGCGCATTTTTTTCCACGAAAATCCGAAAATAGTTTTGCTATCGAATATTGACGATAGTGTTTTGTAATTTTTCACTTTCAGTTTTTAATTTTTAATTTTATGTGTGTGTGTGTGTGTATATACATAGTCATATTATATGTATGTATAATTATTTTTCGGTGATTTTGCGATGATATTTATTGCAGCACACAATCTTTATCTGACATGCAATTAATAATGTTCAATCGTTTGATGTCATAGCCGTCAATCAAAAGAGTATATATAACATTTATTTTATGTTTAATCATTGTTTCGATAATGGATCAAAAGGATTTGCGCGGCGCAAAGTAATGATATGTACGTTCTTGATGATGATGATATTTTATGTTAATTTTTTTCTGTTTTGTTTCAGGCACCTGAATTGAGAATTGAATCGGCAAAGAATAAGGAGGATGTGTGCGGTTGAAGAAAGAAGGAAGGAAGGAGCGAACTAACATTGATTACCCGCCGGATATGTCGAGGTAATTAACTATTAAGTCGGATAATTCAATTCGAATTTACTTTTATTTATGTAAATATCTCCAACTAAACTAAAAGTGCGATAGTTGCGTACGATCTTGATGCGTAGCAAGTAAATGTACTTTTTGGATTCATATCTGTACGTTCAGCGTAAAGAATTAGTATTAAATGTGTTGGGCTTAAGAATATGGAGTGCGCGCGGTGGCGGCGGCGGCTGCGGCTGCTGCGGCTTCGGCTTCGGTCGCGAGTCAATTGATGTTAAGTCATATGCTAAAAATAGAGGAGAGGAACGAGAGGGATAATTAATATGTAGAGGACGGATCAAGTTGGCCAGTCAGCCAGTCCGAGAGAAGAATGAGATATATATCTCTCTCTTTCTCTCTCAGTCAGTTGCTCGCTCGTTCGCTCCTTCATTATCTTCATTAATAATCATTTTATAAAAGATGACGATGTTCGTCTGCTGCGACGCGAAGGCGGAGGCCGCAGAAAGAGATGCCAGATGCACCCAATTATTCTCCACCGCCGTGTCTTTTAATTTCTTGTCCTCCTCTTTGGGGCCGTCAGTGCGAGGAGGTCATTTTTCTTTCTCTTCCTCTTCGTGTCCACATGCATGCATGTGTATAAGGGTGGCGGAGAGACAGAGAGAGAGAGAGCGAGGTGGTGGCAATTGAGTCCAGCCATCCTTGATCCGATTCCGAAATGTTCAATTGTTACGTCAACGATCGCTCTGATCTGATCAATGTTCATGCTCCCTCTCTCTCTCTCTCTCTCTTTATCATCAAGCAAGAGATGTTGCGACCCAGCTCTCCGTCCGTCCGCCCGCCTCCTTCTCCTCTTCTCCTCTTTCGTTGTACTCTCTTTTCTTTGCATGTAGAAGAAGTGTGCAATGTACATTATGATTTATATGTACACATGTATGTGTGTTTGTATGTACGCAATTCGGTTTTAATAATGTGTGTGTCCAGTTTGATTATTTTGTTGCGCCTCACCAATAAAGAAACACACATACACACACACACATACATGTGTTTGATTAATCACGTGGTCTATCTGATATATTCGTAACGTATTTATGGCCACCGGATATTATTTCTCTCTCTTCTGTGTTTTAGTTTTAATATATTACAATTTTTTCGACTTTGCGTGGTGCCGTTACAATCATCATACATGAGTGACTGTGTGTGTGTACATGTATATATACATATATATATACAACACATACAAACACACGAACACAAACGTATTCTCCTCTTGTGGTTTGATAAATAAAACTTGTGCTTCTTCCTACTTACACTTACTTACTTACTTACTACATACACTCTCGTACGAACAACGTTCAGCGGCGTATACATTAAGTCCATCATCCACAACGATCTGATCTGCTCTGCTCTGCTCTGCTCTGTTCTTCTTCCTCTTCTTCTTCTCTTCACATCTCGCCGACAATAATATCGATATATACTCACACACACACACATACACACATATTCTCGATATAAACCTACCATTCGTTTGTAACACAATACACACACCATTTCAATTCGACGCCTGCCTGCTTCGATATACCTTCGACGGATTTGCCATTCCTTATTACTTTTTCAATAATTCCAATATCCAGTGCATCCGCACATTTCCATCGTCGCATCTCTCCGTTTATTTGCTTCCTTTCTTCCGGGTTTCGTGTTTGATTCGTGTCCATCTATCTATCTGCCGGGTGGTCCAAGACAACCGCTCGCAAGTAATTGTTTTCTTTTTGCTGCTGCTGCTGCTGTTTATTATTTCATCAGCAACAACCAACATCATGAATGCCACAAGGATGTTCTTCATTCTGCTGGGTGAGTTTCTTTTTTTTTTCTCTTTCTCTCTGTTTCTTTTTATACTTTTGCTTTATTTTTTGTTTTTTTGTTAACAATCGAAGCAATTTCTTTTATTCTTAAAGTTTGCAAAATCGTAATAGTCACAAAACAAAGTTAAGCAACAAATGAATATGATTGATTCGTACCCCAATTACTCTCTGTAAACTAGATTTACTAGAGTAACATATAGTGATAGTGTGACTTAAGTATTTAATCTTTTGTTTTGCAAGTTATAAGAAAGATCATGAAAGATTGAGATGATTTATTCGTCTGTTTATTGTTTGTCACGAGGCCGCTGCTTCGATTCCGAAAATACGTTTTGTTTTTCGCCATGCCAACAGAGTGTGCGATTTTTAATGCTTGCGTCGGTCGTCCACCATCTAGTAGATTAAGAAGCTATGATCATGAATGAACCGGGATCATCATCATCGTATTTCCAGCATCTATCTCTCTCGGTCTTCTCTTTAATATTACCATCTATTATCTTCTTTCCTTCCTTAATTACATTCTCGAGTCGAAGGAAAGAGTTTGAGAGAGAGAGAGAGACTAATCTCTTTAGTCTATTCTTGAAAGCAGCAGAAGCGAAAAAAATGTCGATCTATTTTTAAAACGAGGATATGTGTAATTATTGTTATGCGTAGACATGCACGCATTCGCTTGATAGTCTCAGTCAGTTCTTGAGATAAGCGAAGAAATAATGTTTTCAGAGATTGAAGAAGAGTAGTAGGAGGATCATTAATCATGGATCAATATATCAATACACTCGAAACCAAACAGAATAATAATAATCGAAATCGAACGAATATCGAACATCATCATCATCAACTCTTTCCGTATCTAAATTATTGACAATTTCCATGTCATTTGCGTCGCAGACGATCAATCAATCCAATTGAAACTTGTCAAAATTGCAAATGAAGCGGTTGAAACTCGATTCAATTGAAATTATTACACGCTAACACAAAAAATGGATGAAATGAGCGAAGGGGCAATTAAGATTGATGAGTTTTTCATTGGAATCGTTAATTGGGTGTCGAGGCTGGTGTTGTTAGGCTTTAACGTCGACCGACATTTGTTGTTTTCGTTCTTTCGAGTGTTAATCAGATGACGATGCGCGCCTCTCGCTTGTCTCTACATCTTGGCAATTGTTAATCGAGCCACGCATCTACGATTTTCGCTGCGTTTTTTTCCTTTTGTTTCTCTCGACGCAAACTTGATTAGCGCCAATTTATTTTCATTGATCCTCGATCCTCGCCAGCGCCAACTTATTATTTCGATCCCTCTGTTATTTGTTAATTTCTACCTAGACTTTCGTTTCGTTTCACGCAGACAATGGAATGTAACACGTTTTAAGGGATGAACAACCCCTCGGGTCGGGACATGGGCTATCGTCCATCTGTCGCGTCGTCTCCGGTGGTTGTAGAAGAGGAGATGAGCGTGTCTTTGCATTGTAATCGCCAGAACAAATTCTCTCTTTGAAAATTCTAGGTAATTTTCGGTCATATTCCGAAAACGTTCTTACTCTTTGTTATCTTCGAGTCATTTCTTGCAATTGCTTAGCAACAAAACAGCAGCCGGTGTAGTGATGAATGTTCTAATTTATCAATCGAACAAATGATTTCGAAATTTGAAAGAATATGCATTTTATTTTTTTGGTTGAAGATATGCAACAAATTGCAAGAAACTGATTCTGTTCTTTCAAATGTACATGTTTATTATTTATTAGCATCTCATTCGAATAATTGAGATTAAATCGAATTGGGCAATAATTGTAATGAGATAAGGACGCGAACAAATTGCTCGCCCATCGAACCCTGACCAATAGTTATGAACTCTGCTCATTTATTTTCATTTTTCTTGTGTAAATTTGTTTCGCATCGCGAAAACATCGCGCGATCTTCGATGTACGAAGTAATCAATTAAATGCAACGCGATCATTGTTTGATTTTGTGCATATGTATCATGATCAAATGGAAACAATCCGAATATTTGCGAATGCGATTTATTTACGAACGACGTGCGCGCGATATTTAATGGCGCGTCTGTTTTTCTCTTCGTTCCGTTGTAGCGGTCAACGCCAATTACGACTTATCGTACGTATCCCAAAATGACATAACGCCGCTATCAAAAATGCATTTGTTTTTAGATTTGTTATCCTTGCACTTGATGGTTCCCATGGAGATGTCACAATTGACATAAGTAGGTTTTGCGTAATTTTGACAGATCATTCGATAATGTCATCTTAGCGAACGGCGCTAATTAAACTTCAATATTATAATTATTATTATTACAGCAATTAAATTTTAATTTTTTTCTATGCTGTTTCGTAACACATGTTTTATAATTTAATTGTTTCTTTTTTTTTTCCATAATCGTTGAATACTAATCCAGTGTGTGTCATTTGCAGGTCTTCTGTCGAGTTTGGTGGTTGGTGCACCACCGAACAGGGGCGCATTCGGTGTGATGGCCTGTCTGAGCCACGGCTGCGACATCGAATCCGGTCCTGTCTGCACTGTCGACGATTCCGGTCTTCCCAGGACCTTCGAGAACCGATGCATGGCCGACCTCGCCTACTGCCGTTTCGGCGTCTGTACGTATCATACAAAAAAAAAACAAACAAAAGACAACGACACCCATCAATCCATCCGACAAAAGACAGAAAAGTGAAATCCGGTTTCGATCGAAATAACAACATTCACTTGATTTTACCATTTCATAGAGTTTATAATATTTATTCTTATAACTTGAAAAACGAAAACCTATAAACTATGTTTGTTTTTTGCAGATTACGCCGTCGTCAAGCCGGGAGAGTGTTAATCGCAACAATCGTAAGACAACGTAGAAGAAGTGGTGCGACAGGAGGCGACCATATAAAAATAAACGAAAAAAAAAGGATAATTCTTGGAAGAGATGCTGAAGAAGAAAAGATATATATATATATAGTATATCTTTTTGAATTAACACATAGCCTGAACGAGGATGCATTAGGATGCGTTATGTTTTTCTCTTTTTTCTCTTCTTGTATCACTGCTATGAGCACTTGTTGTTGTTGTTGATGTTGTTATGGTTACGTATGTAGCAGTCAGTCAGCGGTCGTCCTAGCAACATTCTCGTTTATTTAGTTACTTAACAAAACTAACAACGATGTGCGTGCGTGCGTGCGTTTACTTAAACCATCTCTTCTACACCTTTTAGTCTCTTTCACTCCATTTTTGTTTTGTTTAGTTATTGTTTTACTGTGTATGTTACATACATGTACGTAATCTTATTATTATTATTATCAAGATTCTAATTGTAATTGTAATTTTATTTCTCTCTATTTATTTTTTATTTTATAAACTTTAATACCGAATAGTATTTTCAATTTTGCTCTCTCTCTCTCTTTATCTTCATCTTCATCTATTTCTCTGTCTATTAGATGCAACATATGCATATAAGGTGATGAATAGGCGATAATTATTAACACCAAAATGTCTGTCTAAAAACTATTATTATTATAATTATTATAAATAGAGCAAAGAAGAACA